GTAGAAGGTCGATTTTTCGATTTCCAGGGTTTTTATTTTACATGTAAGTTTTTATCCTAATTTTTTCTGTAATTTTTTTTATTATTCCTTTCCTTGAGAGAGATTCATTATTGTTCTCTTTTCTTAATTTCATTTTACTATACTGTCAGGTTCATCATACACGAGTTAGAAATAGGCTTAACTTTTCACCATGGCTCTATTTTTTTTTCTTTTTTCCCCCTATTATGTCGAAAATTTCTACCGTACGGGGAAGGTTGGATTCATAAAGCATTGCTAACCCTAAATCACTGGCCTGATTCAGCGACAGCTTTAGAAATCATAATAGGTCTTCAGTTTAGTCCAAAGACTTTTCTGTATCTACATTTGTTGTGTCTTGTGAATTCCAATTTCTTCCTTCCTTAGCACTGTAGGTTCTAGAACTTCTTCCCCTTTCTTTATTATACTATATATATATATATATATGTATATATATATATATATATATATATATATATAATTAAAGTATTAATTAAATATTTTATGAGACACTTAAATTTTTTTTATTTTCAACCTTTGTGAGTAAGAGTTCAATTTATCATTAATTACAATAGTTTTTATTATGAACGAAATAACTTAGGTATTATTAAATATTAATGTGCAAAAATTTTAAAAAAATTTCTTTGTTAAGGTTTTTTACCTTTTATCTTAGTATCCTATAGTTATACTGTTCTAGTAAGAGTCATAATAAAATATACTTATTCAAACTATTTTCTTTAATTTCAAATTTTACGTATCAATTGTAGGGAAAAACTGCTGTTTGACCAAGGTATATAAGCATAAATTCATTTTAATTAATTTGTCTAAGGAGACCTAAATGAAGACAAACTAAATTTCCATAAAAAATATTTGTGCGCATTTAATATTAACACGCATTTCTTAATAAGGATATTAATTTGAAAAATATTCAGTTCATTGTGAAATAAATATTTGATTACTCCATTAGCTTAAACTTAAAAAATGACAGTTCTTAATAATATTAAAACAAATAAAATGTAATAAACACAAAGCAGAGGTTTCTAACTTTTTTTGCACGAATAATTGGCTGTGGCTCAGATAACTTTTCTATGGAATGCAAGAGGAAAAAGTGAAGGTTGCGAAAAGGCAATTCAAGAGAATTATGCATATTCAGGCATGTACATACATAGAATAATAGATAAATAAGACAACTATAACGTATGTAGGAAACATGGGATAGACAGTTGTTATCGCAGAGAGAGAAAGAGAGAATATTAAATGAAATAAAGTTCCCACCTTTTGTATACACTTTAATGGATCATGCATTCAAAGTAAAGTCGAATATGTTTAAAAGTTCAATTCGTTGTCATAAAATCACTTAGAATAGAAAGATGTTAATTGATCTTTCTTTTTTGATTAATTTTTTTCTTTACAAGTTTTGATTAATGAACCTTTTTATAGAATAGCCATTGTAATGAATAGTAATAAAAAGAATAGAATACTGTAGAAGTATAACATTCAATCTTTTAAAATGAAGGCAAATACAAATAATTATTAATTAATTTTTAAGGAAAAAAATAGCTAATGATATTGCGTTAGGCATCATGTGTCATCTCTGGGGTGCAACGTATTATCCTTTGTTAGATAATATTTTTAACGTATACCCCTAGAGTTATACAATTAAAGCTATGGAATTAAAAATATTTCGATCTTAACTTACATAATATTTGTTCTTTTTCTTGAATATATAATGAGCTCTAATTCACCTAACTTTATTTATTTATTTTATTTTGAGCTTATATGAAAAAGATTAAACTGAATTTTCTTGTTCGTCCTTTTAACTTCTCATTACGTATCTGTTTGCACATTTACCTTGTATTCAATCAGAAAATCTTTCACTTAAAGTACTTCACAAGTTTTTAATGATTAGTGAAACGAATTTAATTTTCAAAACAATGCTAGGTGATAAACATGAGGAAATATTAGTATAGAGACAAAGCATTTTGAGCTGAGATTAAATGAAAAAAATGCTTAATCTGGGAATTTTTTTGTTTAAGAATTCACTCTAGTTGAAGGAAATTGGCCTACATGTGGAATTATAAAATCTGATAACATGAAAGGTAATTTTAATAAACTTTGATGGTAAATTTTTAAATAAAATGTTCTGAAAATATCACAGCATAAATCAATCATTTTATTGTCATCTCTTCGAGAATTTGAAAATTTTTAGGTTTTTAAATTTCTTCTTTGTATTTTCTATTTAAAATTGTAGTTTGATTGAATTAGATTATATGAAATAGTTTTGAATTCTCTATATGAATTTTAGATTAATTAAAAAAAAGCACACACAAAAGATATTCCTTGCCATTGGAAAGACATCTTAACATTTTTGTAAACGATGGATTAACTTGAATTATTTTAATCATTAATAGACAGTAATATGCAAAAAAAATGAACACTTACTATTTTGAACGATAGTATTATTGTTGATTCTGATGACAGAGCTAGTAAACACATTCGGAACTATTATTATCAGGAACAACAAAAGAAGAACGGATTGCATCATGCATCCGACTCATGCGGAATGCTGAGTCTGAAACAAAAATAGTCAAATATAGCTATTGATAGATAAAAAGAGTAGCTTTGATAAATATGAATAACTTAATAACACTAAAATGTTTCATATAATTATCTTTGCATCGTAAAAATTAAATTTTTGATTTTGATTTTTTAAGCTGTAAAAAAGATAGGATATTTTAATTGCATTGCATCTTCATTATTTTTTCAGAATTTTAAGAAACAGCTTAGGGATATCTATATCAATCTTAGGAATTTATCGACAAACATAAATATCCTACAAATTTGCAGTACACTTATACATTGAAACAAAATGCAACTAAAGCACTTTGATGATCTACACATCTGAGTCATTCATTAGTAAGTCAATATTCAAATTTACATGAAATAGAAGATTAAGACATTTTAAGGTTACGCTTTCAAAATGAATTAATTGTTATACACAGTTCCATTAGAAGGAAATATTTATTTGTAATATTGATTTATAAAACAAATTGCTTCAAAGATGCAACATTTAGTGTTGACATTTTTAAGTAAATATAAAATTACAGAATGAATAACTATTTAATACTTTTTAACGAAGTTATGCCAGCTTCGGAAAAAATGAAAGTTGTATCATTAGACAGATATCTGATGAAATATTTAGCAGCAAGTCAATAAATTAAACAATAATAAAACTTATAAATCTGTAATGAAATTGAGTTATTTTAAATATAGAAAAAAATTACTGTATCGATCCTTGATGAATAAATCCTCTTTCCAGTATTTTTCCATTTAGACAAAATTTCCATTAGTGAAGGGTTCTAACCATTCACTAATTTTTGCAAATTGGCAAAAATATCTATTTGATCTCTTCATTAATAAAGTGTAACATCCATTTGCACACTATGCTGAATCTCACAAACCCAATTATCCTTTTCGATGCTATGTAGTTATACAGGGACGAAATTCCAATTGAGTGATCTTTTCTTCACAAAAATTCATTTTTATCTCACCAAAACTCTTCAAATCATGAAGCTAAAATCAATGCTCTTCTTTGGTTAAACAACACGGCTGTTTTTTTATGTTAGCAACTTCAGATATTCAAATGAACTTTTCAAGTAAATTTCTTTTTTCAGTCTTCCATTGATTTTTTCTAACTTTATTTCTTTTTCGAAAGAAATATCTTAACAGAGAGAACTAATTATAACTTCGCTGGCTGAAAAACACATCTAAAATAAGTTATCGTTGTCTACTTAGATAAATGAAACACGAATCGTGTAAATATTACACCGTCTCTTCCCGGTTGTAAAGGTCAGCAGCTGCTTTAGCATACGATCAGTTTCATGCCATTTCTTGACCTTGCTACAAACTGATTCCACAACTAACGACTCTTGCACCCAGTACGGTTGGTGATGCCCAGTTGACTAACTCTGACGAATCTGTTCCGTTATTTTAGATAATGAGTTGAATAGAAGTTGTTTGGCCTCCATTAGGCAATCTTCCCCAAGGGAGCGTGCATGTTTTGCAAGGTCGTCCATCGTCCCATCCCTCCTTGTGAACTGGTTGCAAGGATTTTCTTCTAAGACCTAACAGCTGAGAGAGAGATTGCATCAATCAAAACAGGTCTTGGAGTGATTATTCCCCTCCCCGATACCTAAATGAATGCTTATTCCGGAATTCGATGTCAAAAGGCGTCGGTCATTTGGAGAAGAGATAAGCAGCGTGGTTTAACGTAATGCCAAATTTAACGCTGAATGTGCTACGTAAGGGACAAAAAATAAACAAAAAGAAGTAGGTTTTGAACTTTGATGCTCACATATACACCTCTGATTGTCATGTATCTTTTCAATCAATTAGCATATACACGGAGAGGGCTCTAAGCTCCTACCTCAGAGGTTACTGACCTCCTAGGTACTTTCTGTTGTCATTTGCTTTGCCGTTAATTTGTTTAATAGTTTTTTGCGACATTCTTGATATCCAGCAAAAAGCAATCATACAATTCATACTATTAGTTCACACTCTCCTTATATATATATATATATATACATATATATACATATATATATATGTATATATATACATATATATATATATACATATATATAAATATAAAGATATATATACATATATATATATATATATATATATATATATATATATATATATATATATATATATATATATATATATATATATATATATATATATATATATATATATATATATATATATATATATATACATATATCTTGCTCAACTTTTCAGTCGTTAATAGAATACTTTTTATTCATCCAATCAAGTTCAAATACATTTTTTAAAACTTGTAGTGGAGGGCACTTGATGTTAATACAGTTTTTTCAAGTATTCATTAATTAATTAAGGAATAATTAGTAACAAACAAAAATAATAGTCCGACACATTATATAAAAAGGAAAATCACTCGTTGTGTCCCTGTAGCGCAATGGGTATTGTGTGTGTGTGTGTGTGCGTTGGACTTCTAATCCAAAGGTCGTGGGCTCAAATTCCACCTGAGATGCCCTGATTTCTGAGAATGCGATTTCTTTTTACTATACTATTTTATATAAATAATTAAATTTAATGGATGAATAAATAGTAATAAACAAAAAAATAGTCCAACACCCTGTATTGAAAGGAAAATGGAAAATTGTAAGGAAAATCGCTTTCTATTTTGCCACTTAATATTGTGATTCTGTCATATGTATAAACATATTTATATTGATTGTAATTATTTAATAAAAATTAACTAAAATAAAATTTTTCTTCGTTGACGGAGTAAGAAATGACTTAAATTTTTTTGTATATTTCTTGTCTTTATTAGCAAATTATTTGTGATTAATTCTAGACAAGATGTAGATTTTTTGAAATCTATTTTTTGTTGATATTAGAATTTATTTAATTAACCTTGAAGTGTTAAACCTATTGTAGGTATTGTTAGTAATTCTTTTACTTGATCAGATATCTGAATACGAACGAATATGCATAGATTATTGTTCAATAACTGGGCATCTTAAGAAACAACAACTTTAAGAAATAAACAAATTGTGGTTTTCAAAATTGTTGAATAATATATAACATATAATTATGATATTTCTATGAGATTTAGAGCTGAATTGACATGTTTTTCAAAAATAGTTTCGGTATCAAATGCGTTAGTAAAAACATCTAAATAAAACAATATATACTTAAAAGATATCGATTATTGGAAATATCATCTGTGAACTTCTAAAGCAATGATAAAAGCAAGAGAAGAATTTTAAGGAAGACTTTTTGGTAAATAAGTAAAAATGTATATAAGGGAAGGTTGAACTTTCAATTCCTTCGTTCATGTATATATATATATATATATATATATATATATATATATATATATATATATATATATAAGCAAATTGTAAATCCTACAAATTAAATAATGGATGAAAATGGATTTGAAAACCTATAAAAACTCGCCAAAATATAAATAGGCATATAAAAAGTCTGAGATAATATAAATATGATAAAAATACAGTGAAATAACAATTTATTCAATCTAAGCCTTCCTCAGTACAAAATACCACTAAAGATACTTAATACTAAGAAATATTAAAACCTTTCAAACGGCAGAGAAAGTATTGAAAAATAACCAAATGTTGTAACATTATTTATTACAGCAATAGTTACAAGCATTTTGTTAGTAAATAAGATACAAATATAAAGTATCGAACTAATCTAACATTAATTGGTGCAACACAGCCTAAATTAATGCCTGAAAATACATAGTATAATAAAATAAGTATAAGCAAATTGTAAATCCAACAAAGCAAAGAATAAATGACAATGGATTTGAAAACCTATAAAAACCCACCAAAATATGAGTATATACATGTATATAATATATATATATATATATATATATATATATATATATATATATATATATATATATATAGTACAATAAAATAAAAGTGAAGAAGTTCTAGAACCTACAGTGCTAAAGAAGGAAGAAATTGGAATTCACAAGACACACCAAATGTAGATACAAAAAAGTCTTTGAACTATATATATATATATATATATATATATATATATATATAAAGGATTTAAATGTTTATTTATACATACCATTATCATTCCATTTTTTCCATTAGAAAAAGAGGAACAGTTCTATAAAGTTTATTGAATGAAAAACACAGTATTTGGTATTTTCAATCAGTCAGAAAACAACTTTAAGATGAGGAACATGCTCTAATTTTTTTTTTCATAATTTGAGTACTTCTTTCTTCCTATATCACTTTTTGAATCTTGTATAATGATGCATCATAAGAATTTTTTTTTTGATCTATTCGTATTTCTTTAAACACATAACTTATTCATGCATATTCCTAAATATTTATTAATGTTATTATACGTTAAAGGTATTTTAATACCGGTATATCAAATGTTTTCGGCTTATCATAATAAAATACCACATAAAGATAATGATTATTGAAACTGGGGAAAAAGATAAAAATATGACGAAAATAATAATAACGATAAAAAAATATCTAAAGTATTTAATATCTGTTCTATTAAAATCTAGAAAAAACAAACTTTTAGTCAATAAGAAAGCTTTTGAATGTTTAACTTCTAGGTTTTTAGATCGACACTGAATGAAATATTTTAGTACCAGTTTTTTTTAATGTTTGAGATGCTAGTTTAATTTCGAACTTGAAAATAAATTTTGAAAAACTGTATAAAAATTTCATTTGCAGTTTATCGAAAGAGTTATTTAGATGGAGTACATAGATTGTGAAATTGATAGCTTGAGTGTAAGAAAAAACTACACACAAAATAAATTATTATGTGGCACAATTTTACGGACAATATGTACTGTTTGAAAGCATCAAATTTATAGCGAAAATCAAACATAAAACGACAAACTGGCTCACAAAATGTAATGCACTTTAACCCCTTAACGGTTTTTTTCGAGCTGAGCTTAGGCAAGCGAAACGTACCATCCTGGCTCATCCCGAGTGTAGCTCGGGCACTGTGAAAATTTACACTGTATAATCGAATTATTTTATCTGTACTTTTTATGGTCTCTCGAATAAGTCAAAAGTACTACTCGGTGGAATTTTCTGCAAAAAGAGGACGTCTTTTTGCTGAGCATCCCGCCCCCCTTCATGATTGTGTGAAAAACACTTTGTTGACTACATTCCGCCAATAGAGATGAAAACTAATTCAACAAGACAGTTTATTATTTGCTGCTTTAAGAAAAGCAGTAAAGTTAACAAGAAGAGAAACAAGGTTCTACTGTCCAAATTGCGATGTTGAGTTATGAGCAGTAGAGAGTTTTTGAATTTATCATGCACGATCAATTTTTCATTAATAATTTCATAATCATTTATGTAAATTCAAAAGATATAAATAAAATTTGCAATTCAAGATAAAAAGCTATATATTATAAGCTTTATATCTATAATTAGTTATTATTGACTCTATAAAGGATTTGTACCATACAAAAGCCAATTTTACAGGTAAATTACTCATTTATTTGAATAAATTTTTTTTCATGAATTTTTAGGAAATTTTGTATGCGAATGATGCTATTATTTTTAAACAGATGTGTATACTTGAAAACAAGCATAAAAAATTGATATATTTTGATCCATAATCCAGAAATAAAATGAACATGGAAGGGGTTAATCGCCACCAGTAAATGAAAAAAAATCATATAATTGAATTTTCCAAAAAAAGCTAATTTCTTTTTTTTAATCTACAAGATTAAATATCGAGTCACTCTGTAATCTTTAGTTACAAATTTATCGCCCAAAAAGAGCTTAGTTCAAGGATCCTAGTAATTAAAACCAGAAATGTTGAGTATGGAAATGTACGCGTTACATATTGTTTTGCTTTCATACTAAATTTAATATAGAATATAGACACTTTTAATGTTATAAAGAATTTTTGTCTTCAGTACCTTGTTTCAGCAATTGATTTATTTTGACTTTTCAATTTATTCATATGATAACTACTGCTTAATTTAACAACATTTTGAATTCATTAAAATTGAGGCTAAATTTTAACAGTCTAATGTTTAAGCGATAGGAAATCAAAATAACTTTCTAAATTTAATCAATGAATTTTATAATTTAAGAAAACTGATCATACTTCATTTTAATTGATCAATTCTCAGGGTCGTAATGCATACCCCCGGCAGGATTCTAGGAGGCCCAAAGCCTGACTGACGTATTTAGCCAATTTATAAAATATTAAAGGCAAAACCTCACTTTGCGGGGGGGAGGGTAATATTCTCCGTTACGCCATAGTCAATTCTATTTATGCTGATTATAAAAATAGTTAATTTTAAGTCTTAATTGAAAAAAATTCTTGCTCACAAAGACGTACTTTTTTCTTATATGCTAAAACTGTATATCACTTTACTTTTTGTATAGAAGTCAGAATAAAGGAAAGATTTACATATATAAATTCAGAACTCTTAAAGCTTTATTCCGAATCAGTTGTCTGATAAATGACATAAATATTTTTAATAAGTTAAAAGCTTTTTTTTTATTTTTTACTTTGAAAACTACTGTAAAAATATAAAATACGTCGCAGTTTTTCCCACGGCGATGCATCGAAAAGCATACTCTCTGTTTATATAATTAAAGACGATCTACTTGAAAATTGTTTAACAGGGTTTCTTTCAGTGCGAAAAATTTGTTTTTTTCCCCAGAAAACATTTCTAGAAGCAACAGTGCACACAGGATCTAACACGAGAATCCAATTATTTCAAAACTGCTTTAACTTTAGCGACGAAAAAAGAAATCCTGCGTAGCCTAAATAAAATACAGCATGCTATTTATTGTTGTGGAGATATTTTAAAGAACGAATCTACTAAATTCACTATAAAATTAATTGTTCGTATGAAATTCTTTCTTTGACTCAAAACGATTCCGGATAAAATTGTTTTAAACTTTCTTATAAAGTAGTACACTTAAAAATCATGAAAATGGAACAAAATAGGAAGAAAAAAAATTAGAATGATTTCAAAACACAGAAGCATTCCCACTACAAAGTTAATTCGTGAGATTAGACACAAGGCGTCGACTGATCTGAAATGATTGCTTTTCTGAAAACAGTTCCGGACATACTGTGGGACGGTCATTGAAGATGCTGCTTATTAAACAGGTTGCTGAAATGACCCTTCAAAGCAGATTTGAAAAGCAAAACAAAAAATGACGAATAAAGAGTCCACGGAGAAAAGAAAGAAAAGTGTTGTACTACCTGATTAACGAAACACATTAGAATGATAAAAAGAGCGCGTTTGCAACTTTTTTATACATTATCATTCGCACAAATAGGGATGGTAAAAACAAGAATATAGGAGAAAATATTTAGGTGAAAAATTTTAAAACAACGGAAAAACCTAATTTTTATGTTGAAGAATGTTTGGTATTCAAGCAATCATACGGTTTGATTAAAAGCTTTTTTTTGTTTTGTTAATAAACTCGTGATATTCATTCTAGCATTAAAATGGCATTTGAAAAGAGATCA